ATGCAGCTCTCAAAATGGAGGGGGTCCCAACGAGATCTTTGCGCCGTACAACGTAACTCGTCGCGCTGATTCCGAATATGCAAAAATCTTGGTTGACGCATCTCTAGAAAAAAACCATCAAATTTTGATATGAATTTCAACATGAACTAGTTTATTTTAATACTTAACCGACGGGAAACGTATTTCTACGTGCTTGTTCACACAAACGTTATAAACGGATGAAGTAGTTTTACGTTTTTCGCTTTTACTTGTTAGTCGGGCGACATTCAATTTGTATACTGTATAGAGAAGTCGAATAGTCATTTCTATTGCGTATCTGACGTTGTGCAATTTGTTTATCTATTGGAAATTGGCTTACTTGTACTCTTATTAAGATGGAATTAAATAATGAAATTTTCGATAAGTTCATTGCGGATGAATTATCAGATGTGCCAAGTGATAACGAATTTGACTATTCTAGCCACGAACTCGATATTGAAATTAATGAAAACAGTAGCAATAATGAAGATGAAATCGTTGTTTATAGAAAAAAACCAAAACGATTACGTATTTGTACTAGTTCAGAGAGCTGCGACGATAGTGAAGTTGAAGTAGACCCTTTGTGAACTAAAAACTCGGCCGTATTTGCTTTTTTCTTTAAAAAAATATGTCGGCGCTACTCGAAGTACAAAATCAAGACATAAGTACACAATATGTTCAAAAAAAATCAGGACTGTGAATAGTACCTCGAATTGCGTTTTCAGTTATTTGCAAGCCAACCACAAGATTTCATACCTTCTGATGAAGCTAAGTTAATCGAAGAATTTTTCAAAATCTCGGATTTCTCGCCAGAAACAACTGTTATCTACAAAATTCAGCACTTCTATTATGAATAAATACAGTATTTAATAAACAGACAAATGAAGCGGAATGTTTTAAACGCGTAAGATCTTGCTCATTTTAACAAATAAACCAAAAACTCTTCTATTTATTGAATTACTGAGATTTCCGAGCTACATAATGGCAAAAACATTTTTAGAAAAAGTTCAAAAATAAGGTCAAGCGAATAAAATTACTGCGGTTGTTGAGTTTTTCTAGTGTTATCAAACTCATATACTTGAATGTAGCCTGGGTATATAAAACAAGCCATGTACATATATATATCTTCAACAAGATATGTACATACATATGTCATATAAGATATGATCTAATGGCCAAGGGAAAAAAGTGCTTCCTGTCGTGATTCTGAGACGTTTTTTTCGGCAGCATCACTTTGCATTAAATACATTGCAAAAGAATCACAATCAATAATTACCCATTAAAAATAATGGTGGAAACTTTGGTGGAAACTTCCACCTCAAATTACAATGTACAAAATACAAATGTACTGTGTAGTCTAACGAGGGAACCTCCCGAGGTGATAAATCGCTTTTTGATCGACACCTGGTGGGTTATAGGTTATCAACCATGTTGATTCCGAATATGGCCGTGGGGCTTCCGCATAGCTCTTCGAAGATCCAGTCTTCTGGAAAACCAGTTTTTCAGAAACCCCAGAAAATAATCCAAGCCTTTCTTAATAAATCAGGATTGTAGCGCGCAAATTTTTGATTAAAATGAAACATCCCCCAGCTATACACGACTTTTCTTCGCAAAGTTATATAATTTTTAAGAAGCGCCTTAAATTAATTTTTTCCTTCTTATTTCTGTAGCTTTGAGCTGACAATGAACAATTTAGGGCTCTTCTTAAAAATTCTATAACTTTGCAAAGAAAAGTTGTGTAGAGCTGGGGGATGTTTCATTTTAATCAGAAATTTGCGCACTACAATCCTGATTTATTAAGAAAGGCTTGGATTAGTTCTGGGGGTTTTTACTTGTTTTAAATATCCGTTTTTGCTGAAACTGCAACGCTTACAGAAAGGAATCAGATAACATCCTCAATGCGTTTTGTCTTACGGAGAGTCAAAGTTGGGTATAGTCGAAAATAGGTTCCAGTAAAACGCCCGTCATCTGAACACCTATACGCAATCCCAAAACTTTTTATACATAGAATAAAAACTAAAGTGCTTTTTCCTTGAGGATTGCCCAAGAAGTTAGTTATCATCAACTGTACTAAATAAACGCAACTGAACTACATTTGTTCAGGTTTTGATTTCTTTTAAAGTTAGATAAATTAGGCAGAAGAAACAAATAGCAAAACATCCACTATCGGTGTTTAAACGCGAAAACACTTTGGCAGTGGCACCAGAATAATAGCGCCTAAAAATTGGAATAAAATAATATTTTTTCTGAATTTCCCTTTTCCAAATTTTATACTACGTTAACAAAAAATTAATTATAGATTTTATATATATATATATGTGCGTCTGTATCCCTGAGCCTGACGAAAGTTCATACTTTTCATGTGTGAGAATTAGTCATGAATATTGATAAAACAAGTTTATATAGTTAGTTATATGATTTCTGTGTATGTGATGCAAATGACTGTAAAAAGTCGAAGTAGTCATTAAAAAAAAAGATGAAATTAAAGCCAGCAAAATTAATTCAATTTCTGATGTATAAGCATATCAAAATTTGATGGTTTTTTTCTAGAGATGCGTCAACCGAGATTTTTGCATATTCGGAATCAGCGCGACGAGTTACGTTGTACGGCGCAAAGATCTCGTTGGGACCCCCTCCATTTTTTGGATCCGGTGGCTCCAAAAATACGCAAAATCAAACTTTGATTTTGCGTATTTTTTATTGAAACTATTCGATCTCACGTAGTTCAGTTTTAAACTTAACTGGATTTTGATTCAAATCCCGATATATACATACTTGCTGCGAAACGTTTACTGTGTTTTCATATGATGTTCGAGACATCAAAGAATCCATAAAAGTTTTCTAGCAGAAGTCCTCTTGGAGTAAAATTCAAAATGAATACAATGGTTCAAGCTATGTTCTTAGTTATTTGCAGCGTATAGCTACTCTTACAAATCACAGACGTACCTCCATCCAACAGTAAAACAATAGTTTCTCCAAGGGGAATAAAGCCAACAACGAAAGGCTTTCTGTCCTTTTCTTTTTATTTGCCTTTTACATTACTCACTAAACGTCATTAACATAACTATGTTATTGTTTGTTTCTTTTGTTTAATTATCATTATCCTAAGGTGTTCTATTAACAACTTCTATATGCAACAACTGTTTTCTGGATGTGTGAAGAGGAAAATTTCAATGATATAGATGTTGAAAATGATAATGATATTGGCAAAGTATTAGCTCAAATGTGGATTGATTATGCGACTCGATTATTAGAAAAATGTGATTGTCCACATTATTTCATTGAAAATTTCAATATTTTAGAGCAGTTCAAATACTTAAATGTCATATTAACTTAAACCACCCACTTGGATTAGAATTAGTTCAAGAACTTAAACAAATAGAACCATATGATTATGGAAATATTAATCATTTTTCGAAAGATTATATACAAGACAGATATAATGCTGAAAAAGAATATAAATATACAAAATTGATTTGGGGTGATGATGAAGGCGAAGATTGGGAATATTTAAAAGATATATTAGTTCCATTTTATGAAATTGATCATCAGGAACAAAATAATTGACTTCAGCGGAAAAAAATACAGTACTGGAAAAAATTATAGAGCCGGGTTCGAGCCTACTCTTTAACTTTGATTTATTTTGTTAATTAGCGATCTGAGACAGATTAAAACACATGAGTATATGCATTTAAGTCTGCTCTTTTCAAATATATTATTGAAAAAATATAGAAAGCTTTGTTTCTCTTACAACAGATTTTTTACAAAAAGATGCCTGTTTTTTGTTGGAAAAAATTATAGAGCCACATTAGCCTATTTAGCCCAATTTTTTCGTTTCCACGTCATTTTATGTCTCAGAAGCATCTGATTGCTTTCTTTCGTCTACATGTGCATGTTTTCTTCCCATATGATGAATGAAATTAACTTAGAACAGCGTTCGACATTCCTCCTTTTCTCCACCTAGACGTATGTAAAATGGGTCGTAAAAGAGTTACTTTAACTCAAAAAACCAATGTTTGCGCACTATTACGTGCTAGATTTTCCCAAAGATATGTTGGTATAATGACGATGAAAAGAAGATGAAGATGCTGAACATAAATCGATGGGTGGTGGTAGTTTACTGGTTCTGGTCGAAAAACCCACCGGTGATGTCAGCAGGTCACGAAGAGTATTGTATTTAGAACTACTCTTCGCTCAAAAGACCCAGCTGTTCACCACCGCTCGGATTTTCGGCCAAAAGCCACCACCCATTGCCGGGGCGGTAGTCTTTGCGGAAATAAATGCCGTTTCGGACTCATATGTTGAGTCTTTCATCCAAGTTTATTTTTTTGATTTTTGTTTATTATTTTAATATATTAAAAAAAAAAGAGTTTTAGTATATATACAAGTACAAAACTATGTACACATAAAAAAAGCTTTTAGTTCTCTTCGAGTTTTTTTTTTTCGTCCTGTGCTGACAGATCTTTTGCCTGATAGCTGTGTTGTTGATGGTACCTACATGCCATGATGGAAGTCATACACCACGTCAAAACCCGCTTGGTATCCGCAGCTGACATCCTGGCTCGCTGCCACCGCCATTAGGTCTGGTTTTAGAGTAGGCCACGTATCACTTGTGGCAAGCTGTATTCTGCATTCAGCCACCCAGAGGCTATCATCTAGCCTCTGAGTGACATACAATGCCAGTCTTCGATTATTTTCGAAACCTGGATATGATTTGATGACCATGATGCAGCTTTTCTCCGACTGACTAACCCAGGATCCCAAATTAAAAGCTCTTTCTAATTTCTCACGATGGACCATCTGCCGAAGATGTTACGGCGTTCATCACCTGATGTTTCGGTTATTTCTGCTTTTGCAGGTGGTGAAGGTACACGACTGTTCATTTTTATTGTTTATTTTATTTATTTTAGTTCTTATAGAGTGATAGTGATGAGAGATTTAAACCTTTCAGACTTTTACTTTGTGAATTCATTGACAATTTGTTTCGGAATGCGCGAAACTTTCAAATTTCTCTGTTTTTCTCATAGAAACAAAAATTCTGTTGTGCCGCTACTACTCAGGGTTAGGCTGTTCTACCGCAACTGAAATAGTTACGTTATTTTTTTTATGTAATGTAACTCAAATAGTTGCATTATTCAGACATGATTCATCTAAGGTTATAACCGCAATTTTCATTTCTTGAAGCCAGTAACTGGTCGAAATCAATCGTGACTCTGACCGAGGAAGTCCTCTTAGATGAAAAATCAGTACGGCTTTTGAATCTATGCTAATTACCATCTTTTTCCTTTTTCTCCTTCGCAAAGACTACCGTCCTGGCGATGGGTGGTGGCTTTTGGCCGAAAATCCGAGCGGTGGTGAACAGCTGGGTCTTTTGAGCGAAGAGTAGTTCTAAATACAATACTCTTCGTGACCTGCTGACATCACCGGTGGGTTTTTCGACCAGAACCAGTAAACTACCACCACCCATCGAATTATGTTCAGCATCTTCATCTTCTTTTCAGCGTCATTATACACGTCATCCATTAATAATTCACAATGACGATGAACATTTCTTTTGTTATTGTTTATTTATTGATGATGATGATAGATTTTTCTTTCTCTCTAAATTTAAATTAATTTAATTCAATTTCTCTCCAATTCAATTTAACTTACTTCAGTTTACTTCAATTTTGTTCAATTTAATTTAATTTATTTTTATTTTTATTCTTTTTTTATATTGACGATATTTATTTTATTTATTGAGAGAGTTGAATAGAGTTGAGAAGATGAGACTTGACTTGTGTTTGAATTTTCATTCAAATGAGATATACGATTAGGTGCCAATCTAGTTCGTAGTTTCTTTGTAGTGGCGCCAGTCATTTACTCTCGAATATCAAGCGGGAAAAACAAAACCAAGAAAGTAGAACGCTTTATCTGCTCAGATTTTTGAATCCGTCTTCCGGGGCGAGGGGGTGATTGTAACGGCTCATCATCGTTACATTGTTCTCTATGCTTGATCTTATTGCATTTTATAGAAATTCTTAAAACTTCGAAGTTTCACGGGTTTTAGTAAGAGAGGTTATAGAAGAAAGAAATTATGTATTAAATTAATAAATAATACAAGTCGTTTCCGGGGAACAAAAACGAAAAACAAGTCATAATTGAAAGTAAATTTCGATTCTTTTATAATTCTTGTCAATTTTCAACGTCAAATTCACATCTCTTCTCTTCTTCCTCTCTCACATTCAGAGAAGGAGGAGCTCAATTCTACATTACATCTTCTTATCTCATTCAAGTTAAATAATTTCTCTTATTTACAAAATATAATTTAGTATTTTCGTTCTAACTGTGCTTCTTATACCGCAATAATTTCCGTTTGCATATTAGAATCCTGCGGGACAAACTTTTCTGTTGCCCCGAGCCCGTAAGCCCGAATCCGAACAGAAAAATTTTTGTCCGGTCCCGTAAGCCCGAGCCCGTGAGCAAATAATGTTGTCTCGAACCCGTCTGTCTCGTGAAAAAAATTTATGGACTTTTTTGCCCGTCCCGTTTGTCTCGTAATTTTTTTGAAAAAGTTTTTCTGCTGTGATAAACCGGAACTATTACGAGCGACGCTTAAAGTCTCAAACTCGGTTTTGCAAAAAATCCGCATGACAAAATTCAAGCCTATTTTATTGGAGTCTAAACTCAAAAGTTGCAGTATAAAAGAATGCTTTACATCCACTCACTAGTTCGGAAAGGAAAGAACGATAAACCCAGTTTTAGATATGGAACATCTTCTCAAGTTTAAATCCGGATTATTTCGCCTCTCCAGGTTAATTTTTATTAGTTATTGTAAAATTACGTTTTTCACGTGATAGTACTGGTTGGCCCAGAACAAATGGCCCTCCTCGTATTTTGCATATAATTTCTTTTCTTTTCAATCCTTAGACCTGATCGTTTTTCCAAAAGATACGCCGTCGAATTCTCTACAAGACTTGACCAAACTTATTTCGATACTAAGATAAGGAGAAAAATGAAATGAAGAATACTCAATACGATGAAAAGGACCAACTTTCTAAGCTGAAATAATGTTTTGTTCCACCACTTTCATTGAGTCGGATGATGAAAATAAGAGAATACACGCATTTTGTAGCCATTGAAAAGTTCTATCAACCAGTATTAGATGCACAATGCAAAATCAATCTTGCACCAAAATAGCGCCTTTCTAGCTCGATCTTTTTTTATTTTGATGAGAAATGGTACTTGTGCCAGATTCAGCTGCGAAAGTTACCTTAAAGCTTTCTTCATAAATTCACCTGCCGAGCAATAGCAGATTTTGGTCACCTTGAGGTGAATTTTGAAATGTCAGATTTTTCAGTGCTAACTTAGATTTCAACGAACTGTGAACTGCATAAGGAGAAAGAGCGTACTTTAAAGTACTCAAAAATATCTTCAGTTTTGTTTTATTGTCTTTAGTCTTGTTTAAAATATTCCAAAATTTGTAAAACAAAATAGCCTAGAAAGTTGGTCGTTTCGTCATGTTGAATATTTTCCGTTTCATTTTTCTCCTCAACTTTTTATAGAAATAAGTTTGATCAAGTTTTGTACGTCACAAGTGTCAAATTCATCCACGTCTTTTCGTATATTAAACTTTTTTCGTTCCTGTCGAATCCTCGCGATCAAACATGCTACATCTATGATAAACAATCACATTTTTATCATACATGCATTCCCATATATCAACGAGTCCGGTAAACATGCCTGAACGCAACAAAAAACGTACTTTTGCGTTTTTCGTGAATGCCAGATTAACTCTACTGTTATTATCACTAACAACCGCCAACTGGTACGGAACAACCAAAGATCCTATGCTCTTTTACAAATCAATGAAGGCATTATGACTATATCAGTTTGTCAAGAATTGAAAGAGCTATAAAACGCACTACTTTAGAAAAATGGGCTTTTTCGTTTTTTCGAAAAAAGTTAGCTTGATGATCTCCAGGTATCTCGCATTTTCTCTAGTCATACTTGTTATGTCGAACTTAATGATCTTTTGCAAATCGACGAAGATATTTTGAATATGCCGGTTTGTAGAGAATTGAAAGAGCTTTCTAATTATGGGTTGATTTCTTTATATGCTGCTATAGTGGTAGAGAAAAGCGCATGAGAAGGGTTTTAATAGTGCTGCATAATGGCCTCTTTCAAGTGAAGATCCTATCGGGATGGAAGGGCTTTAACCACTCGAAAACAGCTAAAATCGAATGTTCCTGGTTTTCTGCTAGTCACAGGACCATTTTGAGCGAAAAAAAAAGTGGACCGATTCTTCAGCTTATATGGACCCGTCCTCTGTAAAAGTGAAAAAAGTAAAGGTCGTAGTCTATTAGAAGCACTTAGAAACGCTTACTGTCAGTAATAAAATCACTCACAAACTGACACACAGATATCAAGGGATCGCTGGATAATTGTGTTCTAAGTAGAAGTGTATCAGTATCAAGAGTAAGATCTAGATTACCCAGCCTAATAGCCAGAATTGCTCGAGTTCGATCGTACTTTGGGCATTCCAGGAGATAGTGTTTAGGATTGTCAACCATCTTTATCGACGGAAA